TTTAGAGAATTTTCCAGAAATGCTCGGAAGAATGAATCCGAAGTTGAAGATTAAGATGGAAGGCTCTGGGATAAGAAAACTACCATCATCTATTATTTATTACCAAGCTTGTGTTCCAGAGCTACATTTGATTTAGGATAAATTACATTTTTCCATAATTCTCATTATTCCCTACCAGTTCTAAAATTTTCCAAAATCCCTTATTTTACTCCCAAAATTCCCAATTGCTAGATACATAAATCCTAACTTCCAAAATCAACATTTATCCCTTCCTTATTTCACTCCACAAATCTCTCCTTATTTTTAGTCACAGAATCTTGATAGTTATTTTCTCATTCATGTTTGAAATTCAAAAATCAATCTCTTTTCTATAGGTTACGGATTTTTTTAGACAAAAATAATTTAAAAAGATACTTATGAGTCTTTTACCTATTTTTAAAAATACTCCAAAATTTATAATAAAATAAAATAAGTGGACTTCAAATTTTCAACACTAAAATGTAAATTAGAAGAAAAAAAAGAAGTAATAGTAATAATTATTATTTGGTAATAATCAATTTTTTTTCTTGTCTTCTTGTGAAATCCTAAACCTCGAAAAGGTTCAATGGCGACAATACCAGTTAATCCAAAGACTTTTTTTATCAATTTGACTGGAAAGCATGTGATGGTAAAGCTAAAGTGGGGATTAGAATAGAAAGGGTATTTGGTCTGTGGATTCATACATGAACTTGCAGCTTGCCAATGGGCAACAATATAATACCTATCAATTTAAACGAGATACATAAATAGTAATATATCATGCACTATTTTTTTAGATATGATATGTAAATTCAAATTTATACTAAATGTATCAATTATATAGCAACTATCACACGATAATGTATCGATCTTAAATATAACATCTTATGGGCAACAATTACTTTTTAAATGTATCTAGTATAAATACAATATTATCAATTTAAACGAGATACATAAATAGTAATGTATCACGCACTATTTTTTTAGATATGATACGTAAATTCGAATTTATACTAAATGTATCAATTATATAACAACTACCACACAATAATGTATCGATCTCAAATCGAACATCTTATGAGCAACAATTATTTATTTAATGTATCTACTATAAATACAAAACTTGTCAATTTAAACATGTATCTAGGTGTTGCTATGTATCTTCTATCTTATTCAAATTTAGATATGTATTCAAATTTTGATACATAAACTTAATTAGTTTTGATACTTGATACAAAACTTCTACCAAATGTATCATTTATCATGTATCTATGTGTTGGTATGTATCCGTAAACAGTACATGATACATTGAAGTGTCACACAAGTATGCATCATATTCATAAATGGTGATACGTAAATGTTATTATCAAAAGTTTGTTTAGTTTGAGGCAAAATGTAAAGATCTTCTAGCTATGTATCTGATACAATAAATATGGAGCGCATTAATACATATATTAAATTATGTAGATACATAACATAATGAATCATGTACACAGCATTTTGTCTTTAATTTAAACAGTGCTAATATCAGATACAACTTTTTATCAAACACAACTATACAAATTGTGTGTTAGATACACAATTTTATGGAACACAATATTACATCTACTAAACCATATAACTGATACATGGTATAATGTATCGGATACACAATATTCTATTCTTGCATGAACATATACACAATTTTTTAGACATGATACGTAAATTCGAATTTATACTAATTGTATCTAATACGTAACAACTACCACAAAGTAATGTATCGATCTCAAATCTAACATCTTATGGACAACAATTACTTATTTAATGTATCTAGTAAAAATACAACACTTATCAATTTAAACGAGATACATAAATAGTAATGAATTGATTGTTTATTTATGTATATTGTTTATTGGCACCAGTTGGGTCCTTCTTGTCAACACCGACAACAAAAGTTTGCCTCATGTCTCTCACGGTAAAACGACCCAATGTTGGGTCCTCAACAATGGTCTCAACAACCATAGGCTTGGTGGGAATCATCTTAACCATACTAGCATCACCATTCTTCAGGAACTTCACCTCCTTCTCCAGTTCCTTACCTGAGCACCTGTCAATGTTAGATCAAGATCTCAGCAAACTTTATAGCAATGTGGGAAGTGTGGCAGTCAAGCACTGGTGAATATCCAATTCCAATCTAATTAGGATAATTCATGATAATGACCTAAGCACCTGTCAATGATCCCCTCTTAATTACTTAATTTTCAATGGAGATGAGTTATTACCTTCGACGATGTACTTGATTTTGAAGATTTACCTAATCTCATCGATCTCCAACTCAATTGAAATGACGGCTTTGAGATTCATAAATGAAATCAATTGTCCAACAACAATTTCATCAATTTTGTAACCTTCATAACTCATCTCGCTTACCCAAATTTCTGATTCTCTCAACAAAATCGATATATATATTAATATTGTATCAGCCAATATTGTCGATTAATTTAAGTTCTTCACGATTTGGGCTGCAATAGCAGCTTCATAGAGATGATAGAAATTTGAATTTTGAAAGATATGAATCTGTTACAGATTGGTATGGATTGATAACAATCACTTATGCTTGAATCGTGGGATATAAAATCAATTTTAGGTTAATTTTCCTAATAAAGCGCAACAGCCAACTATTTTCCTTAAAAGATGCTACTGCCAGCTTTTGCAAGTATCACATATAATGTATCCGGATGAAACTTATGTATCCGGATGACTTCTATTTTAAGGGATTTTTGTAAAATAAAAAAAGTAGGGATAGAATATAATTTAGATTTTACACTATGGGATTTATGTAAGTTATACTTTGATTTATATGGAAAACCTGGTAGCTCTTCCAAGAAGCATTGGCATGTTGAAAGGTTTGGTGAAGATAGATGTGTCGTACTGCTCTAAACTTGAAATCTTTCCAGAAGATATAGATGATTTAGAAAACTTAGTGGAGCTTCATGCCACATGCACTCTAATTTCACGACCTCCATCTTCCATCGTCCGCTTGAACAAGCTTAAATTCTTGACTTTTGCAAAACAACAATCAGAAGTGTTCTTTGTGTTCCCTCAGGTGAATGAAGGGTTACGCTCATTAGAAGATTTGCATCTCAGTAATTGCAATTTAATAGATGGAGGTCTTCCAGAAGACATTGGATGCTTATCCTCTTTGAAAAGGTTTTATATCAATGGAAATAATTTTGAGCATTTGCCTCAAAGCATAGCCCAACTTGGTGATCTTCAATTGTTGGACTTGAAAGACTGCAAGAGGCTCAAAGAGTTGCCTGGTTTCATGGGGATGCCAAACTTGAAGACTTTGAATCTGTCATATTGTATGAATTTTAGAGAGGTTCATTATTCCCTGGGATTTCTCAAAATGCTCTGTACATTAAAACTAACTGTAAACGGCTTAAGAGATTTCCAGCTCTGTGCATCGATTCCCTTGAATATCTCGATCTAGAGGGGTGCTATAGTTTAGAAAAAATTTCAGAAATCCTCGGAAGCATGAAGGTGGAGTCGGAGATTCGCATGCTAGACAGTGTAATGAGAAATCTAAATTCGATGTATATTTCATTTCCACATTCCTTGTCTCAGAAGATCGTTATCTTGCAGCATGACATCTCTGCTTCAAATTCCTTTTCACAAAGAGTGTTTAGCATTGAGCATGGTGGGAACAAGATCCCAAGTTGGTTCCATCATCAGGGGATGGATGGAAGTGTATCAGTCAATTTGCCTAAGAATTGGTATGTATCGGATAACTTCTTGGGATTTGTTGTATGTTACACTGGCAGGTTAATGAATGTGACAACTCACTTGATTCTCTTATCTGATGATGGGATGTCGTGGATGACCCTGAAATTTTCCAATTATTCAGAATTCTCCAATTATTCGGTATGGGAGACAGAATTATGCAACCCTAGTATTCATTTTTTCTTGGTACCTCGTGCTGGCTTATGGGATACATCTAAGGCAAATGGAAAAAAACCAAATGACTATAGGATTATTAAGTCATCTTTCTCCGGAGAAATGAAGGAGTTTGGATTTCGTTTGTTGTATAAAGATGAACCTGATCTTGAGGCCTCGTTATTACAAATGAGGGAAAATAATGATGAACCAACAGATCACTCCATTGGGACAAGTATAAGCAGATATGGCGATAGTGAACGCCATGATGTAGCAAGTTGCTCGTCTTTACGAATCTGAAGCAACAACCTTTCTCTTCAGAAACTTTGCAGCTCTTTCCCACAAGACAAGGAATTTAGCTTAACTACAGGTAATATATCTCATGACATGTTTTCTTTTTCTAGTTGGTAGTCAGATTGTGTTTCTCCCTACTTATGTAACTCTCTTTTATTGGCAGGATCTCATCAATGGGTGATGCACATATCAACGATGAGTTTTTTTCTATTGATTCTCCATCTTGTATCTGCTTGTGTTGAGCCATGATTAACCATGGTCAGTTAAAGGATGTGAACAAGTTTAATCTTTTGTTACTCAAAGTCAGATCCTGGAATCATGCATCTTATTCACAAATTTTATGTGAAGATGAACTAGACTGTCTCCTAAATAATTACCGTAATTATCATATTTGTTTTGTGCCTGAACTATTAAGGTTGAGTGTTAGTTTAATGGCATAATACATAAATAAGCCCTTTAACTTGGCCTCATTTTACATTTATGCCCTCCAACTTTGGATGTGCACAAGTAGACACTTAAACTTGTATAAAGTTGAACAAATAGACACATGAGTCCTATATGGCACAATACACGTAGGACAAAAAATGACATGTAGGATGCCATGTAAGACATGTGTGTCTATTTGTTTAACTTTGTACAAGTTTAAGTGTACTTGTGCACACCCAAAGTTGAAGGACATAAATGTGATTTGATACCAAGTTAAATGGCATATTTATGTATTACGCCTACACTACAAAAAAAAAGCCTAAATAGCGGGGTTTATTTTACATACTATGGGGGTTAGGAACCCCGCAGTTTGTTGTAGCAGAGGTTTGAGCAACCCCTGAGTTAGGTCTGCCATAATTAAGTTGTGGGGGGTTTTCACTAACCCCTGTAACAAGCAGCGGGTGTTATTTTGCGGCGGTTTGAACCCCTGCAAATTGATTCTTAGAAAACTACCATTTAAGATCACAACTCATTCGAAGTGTAATGTAATCAATAAATAATTAAGTTGCATTCATTTCATACTAGCATTTGAACATATAAAAATAGATTTATAAATAAATGAAGCTATATTTATTAAATCACAAAAATGTTAACAAAAACTTTATACAATTCTCATCGGTCTGATGGTTCACTTTCTTAACCCAACAATTCAAATACTGATAAATTCTTAAATCTATCTGCAGGCATGAATTCATTCTTCTTCGATCCAATCAAAAGCAATGATGTGGTCCAGTTGGGTTATCATAGTGCTACAAAATTGCCATCAATATGCTTGGTGTACAGCAGAATAAGATCTGTGTTTCACATCAAAGAACAACACAAAATAAAATAATAACGATAACAATATAAAGTGAACATGAGATAAGAATGAGAGATTTTATGAACAATAAACAGAAAGTACTACAATATGAACAAAAAAGTTGAATGATTAAGATGAAATATAACTCATGTCAATTAATTTCAAAAGGCATATAAATTGGGACGGAGGGAGTATATAAATTTATGGCTTGCCCCATTCTTGTGTTGTTCCAGTCCAAGATCCATCAAATGAGCAATCCAGTAGAGAGCAAAGAAGGGACCAGCCTCGATTTCGTTCTAAGAAGCTTCAGGATTTCTTCAAGTATAATAAGACCCTTCTTGTGATAGCCATTCTAATTGCAACAGCAACTTATCAAACAGTGCTTAGTCCACCAGGCGGTGTTTGGCAGGATAATTATTGGCCTGAGGGCAATAATAACACCAACAATGATGTCAAAATGTCCTCGCGACGTATCGCAGGACAGGCAGTGATGGGAACCAACAATCCAATTTCCTATGGCTTATTCTTGGCTTTCAACTCCATCGGATTTTTTGTATCCCTCCATACAATAAATTTCTTGACTGTAGGATTTCCTTTGCAATTGGAACTGCATGTTTCACTTGTTGCCTTGATAGCAACCTGTGATACTGCGATGTCTGCCATAACGCCTAACCGGGGAATTTCTCTCTTCTTTTTAATCTTTTCGTCAGTCTTTCCAATTTTGTTGCCTTACATTACAAAGTTGGTGAGAAACTATTGCAAGAACCTAGATTCTTGTCAAGAATTACAAACTGTTAAGTTACTTCAACAACATCTTTCTGTATATTTATTCATCTTTGAGGTTCAGTCCGGATATATTGAGATTCTGCAGTAATACGTGTGTATGATATTCAATTATAATCTCTTTTACTTAATCACTTCCAGATATTTTTCTTCTAATCAATCATCCTGATTAATTTATGATAATGGAAAATGAACTCATGGATACATTTCATACTGATACAAACTAAAAGATCCTAGTCAATTTGATCATAGAAATGAAAAAGCTCAGTTGGTGATTTCTTTCTATCTGTCTAAGCATTGGTGGACAGAATTCTTGAACATGCTTGTAATGTCCACATAAGTTGCTTGACATATTGAACTCATATGTCAAACGAGAGCGACTTACTGATGTTCAACACGATGACAATAAGGGAAATTAGAGATCTGACCTTTTGTACATTAGACGTGCTCCTCAAACAGTCCTAAAGTAACATTTTGAGATAGATTCATTCGCATGAAGCAGAGCTGAAAAGGAACAACAAGCTAACAAGACGTTAGATTTTGACAACAAAGATGAACTCCCTATTTTAATAGGTTTAAACTTTTCTATGGATGTATGAAAATTGCTAGCCAAGTATGGAGATTAAATTTTTTGCATAACCAATAATTCCTATAAGAGAACTCTTCCTCACCAGTACGTCTTCAAAAACTTTTGAATCAAGCTCAATTTTATATCCCTACAGATCCGATGATTTTTGTTCACTGGCTGCCCCACATGTTCTGTTTAAGTCATCCCCATATATATATATACCTTCAAGGAAAGAGACCAACTCTTAAAGATTGGAGGAAATGTATTGTGAAGTTCTTCACCAGTCAAACAGGACATGTGAAAATGCAAACAATCAAGGCAGTGACACATCCTATAAATCCTTGGCTCAAATAAAGCATATAAAATTAGGCATATATATAAGGATCATCAATATCACAAGGACTCCACAACTCCACTTTTCAACATGATATAAGGAACAAGGCAGTCTTATGTAAGTTACTATGAAATCTAAGTAGAAAAAAAAAGATGGGTTATGATTTGAAAATGAATTAAGAGCTACCTATTTATAGGAATGAATTCTTCGTATTGATGTCATCCATGACATCACTATGTGTCAAAAATGTCAAGGTTAAACATGTGAAACCATTTTATGATTTACCTAAATTTCACTTATCAAGATACTATCTTGACTTTTATTTTGTACTAATTATCTTCCTACCAAATCTTCATATTAATTCATCTTCCATTGAGTTTGATTCCACAAGAACCAACCCAACTCTTGCAATCTCCACCTTGTTTTGCGTTCCGAGCATGCGTATAAACAACTCCGGCCAAAACTTCTAAGCTTACTGGGCAATCCCGTTGTAAGAAACAAGAACTTGAACATACTAGCTCCACCTAGCAGTTGTTCTCTCAGAGTTGCATCAATTGATGCATACTCCCGCCAAGTCCTTGCAGTGTGCAAACTTGGCAAGCGGGACTATCTTGGTCAACATGTCTGCAGCGTTATCGTCTGTGATAACCTTCTCAACCTTGATAGCTCCATTTTTAATGACATCTCGAATAAAATGAAATCTGACATCAATATGTTTGGTGCACTCATGAAATCTTTGATTTTTAATCAAATGAATAGCACTTTGACTATCACATCTTAGAACTGATTCCAGGTGAACCGAACTCAATTCTGCCATCAAACCTTTCAACCAGATAGCTTATTTCACCGTCTCTGTTGCTGCCATATATTCTGCCTCTGTTGTAGACAAAGCGACAATCGAATGTAAAGTCGATTTCCAACTAACGGCACTACCAACAAGAGTAAAGATGTATCCAGTTGCGGACCTCCTTCTATCAAGATCCCCTGCATAGTCAGAATCTACATAACCGAGAATTGAAATACCTTCACTTTTCTGAAAGGTTAGGCCAACATCAGGAGCTCCTTTGAGATATCTTAATATCCACTTCACAGCTTCCCAATGCTTTTTTCCTGAATTTGCCATGTACCTGCTTACCACACTTACAGATTGAGTAATATTTGGACGTGTGCACACCATAGCATACATAATGCTGCCAATTGCGTTCGCATAAGGAACCTTTGACATATGCTCCACCTCATCCATAGACTGAGGCATTTGTAATTCAGAAAGCTTGAAATGAGAAGCTAACGGTGTACTTACAGGCTTGCTCATATGCATATTAAATCTCTCAAGAACCTTTTCGATGTACCTCTTTTTGAGAAAGATGTACAACACCATCTTCTCTTGAAATCTCCATTCCAAGGATTTTCTTTGCAACTCCCAAATCCTTCATGTCAAATTCCTTGCTCAACAGTTTCTTCAAAATATTTATCTATGTGATGTTGTTAGCAACAATAAGCATATCATCAACATACAACAATAGATAAATCATAAAGTTACCAGACATCTTCTTGTGATACACACAGCTATCAAATGCACTCCTCGAAAATCCATGTGTAGTCATGAATGCATCAAACCTCTTGTACCACTGTCTAGGGGACTGCTTCAAACCATACAAAGAATTCTTCAGTTGGCATACATAATCTTATTTTCCCTCAGCTAGGAAACCTTCAGACTGATCCATATAGATTGTCTTTTCTAGATCACCATGTAAGAAAGCAGTTTTGACATCAAGTTGTTGAAGCTCTAAATCAATTTGTGCAACCAATGCTAGTAACACATGAATTGAGCTATGTTTCACAACTAGAGAGAAGATCTCATTGTAGTCAATTCCCTCCTTCTGGCTGAAACCCTTTGCAACCAATCTCGCCTTGAACCTAGCATCTTCTAGTTCTGGAATACCCTCTTTCTTTATGTAGACCCATTTGCATCCAACTATCCTACTCCCCTTTGGCCTTTTTAACTAAGACCCATATCTCATTTTTGTGAAGAGACTCCATCTCTTCCATCATGGCTAACTGCCATTGTGCAATATCTTTGCAAGAAGTTTCTTCAACATACGAGGAGGGCTCGAGATCCTTAATCTCTTCTTCTGCAGCTACGAACGCATATGTAATCAGATTTTCTTGCTCTATAAGACATTTTGGTTTCCGTATCTGCCTTTTGTCTCTTCCCTTCGCAATTGTGTATGGTTCATTGACAGTAAGTTCTTCAAGATCTGCATCTTTTGACTCATCAATTTGAGTCACTTGATCTCGCTCCTTGGTAAGCTTCACCGGTAGCTCCATATGCTCGTTTTTCTCGTTTCTTGATAACTCCACGAAAATTTTACAAGGATCAAGTATAGAGGACTCATCAAAGGTAACATTTCTACTAACTACAAATTTGAGTAAAGACAAACACCAAAGTTTGTACCCTTTTACTCCATCTACATACCCTACGAATATGCCCTTTTTAGCCCTTGGTTCAAATTTTTCTTCATTAACATGATAATAAGCTGGACACCCAAATATTCGCAAGTATGAATAGTTAGATGGTTCACCTGACCATACCTCATTCGGAGTCTTAAAGTCAATCGGTAATGTCGGAGATCGATTGACAATATGAAAAGTAGTATGAACTGCTTCAGCCCAAAATATTTTCGACATTCTGCTTGTAAGAGCATACAACGAGCCTTCTCAAGAAGAGTTCTGTTCATTCTCTCGACAACTCCATTCTGTTATGGTGTGTGCCTGACCGTCCTATGTCTTACGATCCCATGAACCTTGCAGAAATAATTGAACTCTTCACTGCAAAACTCCAAGCCATTGTCTGTGCGAAGAAACTTGATTTTTCTATCCATTTGTTTTTCAACCAAAATCTTCCACTCTTTAAATGCTTCAAAAGCATCAC